GAATACTCTTCTATCATTTGGTCACCATGCTATAGAGTCGACATGGAACTCTTGGAGAGTACTCAAAATAAATTTTTGAGATACTGTGGATACAACTTAGGAATGAATAGAGATGAATATAATTATTCACAAATTCAAAAAATCCTAAATTTGAATACTTTAACACATAGAAGACTTGAAATCGACCTGATATTCCTCCATAAAATTATCAATGGCAGTATTGATTGTCCTGAAATTGTTAAGCTTACCTCACTTTCTGTAAATGCTAGAAGAAGTAGAAATAGTGACATTTTCAAGATCCCTTTTTGTAGAACAAATTATGGTCAAAACGAATCCCTCAACAGAATACTGAAGTCAGCAAACACTCACAACAACAAGCTCGAGCTGTTCGGTTCATCTTTACTATCCTTTAGAAAAGCAGTTAAAAAATTGTAATAGTTTTAATTTTTAGTTTTAATATAATCTTAGTCATCTGTAAAATATATATATTGTACAATCTTTTGTAATGGTATAATTGGCTTGTCCGTTGATAAATAAATAAATAAATAAATAAAATTTGTTCTATCCGTCATTCGGTTGCCCCCTTACGAGCAACCCTCAAAAGTCTTCGAAAGTCTTGTGCGAGCAAGGAATCACGGGGGCCTTACCTTTTAACGTGTGATCCCAAACACTTTCTTGGGCCATCAGAAAAATTTCTGCAGTCGACGGGGATCGAACCCACGACCGGCAAGTGAATGCGAATTAGAATATAGACACTCTGTCCGCACGGCTACCTGGCCACCATCTGCTATATAGTTTTCCGAACCAGGACGATATTCCACACTTATCGAAAATTGTTGGAGGTAAAAACTCCACCTCAACAGTCTAGCATTCAAAAGTTCAGGAGTATTTATGAAAGATAAAGCTTTATGATCCGTCACAATTATGATATCATGTCCTGAAACTAACACATACCAATGTTTCAACGAAGCAACAATACTCAAAGCTTCTTTTTCCGTAACAGAATAGTTTCTTTCTGCTCCATGGAGTATTCTAGAATAATAAGCAACAACTTGTGTTTCATTCTGATTGTAGATCTGATATAAACACGATCCGATAGCGTATGCAGACGCATCGGTCATTATATAGAATATTAACGAAGGATCAGGATGATTTAGTATCACAATGCTTTTGAAAGCATCCTTGATTTCCGCAAATGTTCCATCTTCTTTCGAACCCCAATGCCAATTACTATTTTTTTTAGTAAATGATTTAATCCCAACGTTAAATGAGAATAGTGTTCTACAAAACGGGAATCATAGTTAACTAACCCTAAGAAGGCCCTCAACGATTTGATGTCACGTGGTTTTTGAAAATTCATGATAGTTTAAACCCGTTCTGGTTGCATCCCAACACCACGTGAATTGATCATATGACCAACAAACTGAATTTCTTCACGTGCAAAATTACATTTCTGTAGTTTCAATTATACTCCCGCATTATGAAGTTTCTGAAAAACGGTTCGAAGATGTTCCAAATGCTGCTCTGCCGATTGGGAGATAATCAACAAATCGTCAACATACGGGATGACGAAATCTCGTGTTTCCTCTCCTAACACCGTGTTCAAAGCACGAATGAAACTTGCTACGGATGTAGACAATCCAAATGGAAGAACTTTGAATACATAGGTGATACCATCAAACAAAAATCCTGTATATTTCTGATCCGGTTAATACAATTCTACTTGTCAGTAGGACATAGTTAGATCCAGCGTGCTGAGAAATGCACCTGGAGTGATATGATATAATAATTCAGACGCATTTGGAGGAATCACACAAACTCTTGGACTACCATCTTTCTTTCTCACGACAACTAGTGGACTCACATACTCAGTTTGTTTTTCCCTAATAATTCCCCACTCAATCATGTCTTTAATTTGACGTTTGACTTCGGTACGATAAATATAAGGAATAGGATAAGGTTTTTCATTCGAATGCGATGAACATAATTCCTTATTTTTCCCGGTTTTTTCGAGAAAATGTTACTAAATTCAATCATCAATGATTTGAAATTTTCTTTACATGCACCCTCGAAAGTCTCAGTTTTTTGTATCGCATCCATTATTTCTTCATATCTGTAATTTTCATTTAGATCTTCCACCCGTTCGAGACAATCATTATTATCACCAACTTCTTTTATTTCGGCAATAACTAAACCCTCAGTATCAATACTTTCGCTCCTAAACTTGATCACAATTTCACAACCATTCGCATTTCCTGTTACGTGATTAAATCAATCAAACTCACTCCTGCTAAAATATCAGCAGATACGACTATGGGTCGTTTTTATTGTAGTTGTAGTTCTGTTCTTGTGGCTAGAGAGAAAAAGTATAGTAGGTGCTCCGTTCTTAAAACTTCTGGTATCGAGACAGAAGGAAATTGAATTTTATAAATAAGGTGAACAACGGAACTTCGATAGAAAATTCGTTGAAAACGGCTTTTTCGTTGTTTCACAATTTGGGATGATGTGTTTTTGGTTTATGGTTTGATTGGACCATCATCTTGATACATAATTTTGGATTTGTTGTTTGGAGGGATTCGGTTTGAACGCCTTTAGATTGCATTGGGTTTATCGCACTGAAGGTGAGTTTTGTTGATGAACGGTTCACACTAGGACCCCGGTATTATTAATGTCAATATTTCAGGCGTTCTTCATCAGGGCTGAGTATTGTTGGTAATGAAATGAACAGGAAAGAAAGACATAATAATATATTGACGAAGAAGTTTCCATTATACACTATGTGATTGAGCTGGCGCAAAGCTACAGTGAAAACCAGAAAGATGCTAATGAGTTGAGGACTGTGATGGTTTGGAAATCGACTGAGTACTGAGACTGAGTGATAAGTACCACATAGTGGCTTTCCTTCCATGATTTTGTTTTTTTTTACGTATACTCGATATCTGCGGTAGATGTGAATGATTAAAGACTATTATGAGTTGAATAGTATTCAAGGTAGTGTACTTGGTAAAACATTCACAACGATTTTGAGGTTATCGCTCATCCCTGAAGTCATACGAGACGTATATAAGGTAGTTTTTAGGTTTGTGACAGATTTCACAATCAACTTGACAGTGATTATTGATTTCCCTTGAGATTTTCGATTTGATTGGGGAAGCTGCACTCTCGAGAGTATTTAGTAACCACCTTTGTATTGGATCTTAGTGTTATGTACTTTATTTTCTAGCCACTATATAACATGTATACCACCAAATGTATATAACTTTGCTGAGGCTGAAAAGTATATAGTTTAGTGATTTTAGGTGTTTTCTTTCAAAGGGGGTTCAATAAAATTAAATCACTTGGCGCCCGCTCATTAAGTTTGAAGAATATAGTTGAGTAGGTAAACAACCAGAATATTGTTTGATACCCATCCCCGACTCCACTGAGATTATTTAGTCGGTGCATCCCCTTATTCAGGGCAAAGTATAATAGTGATTACGTAACATTCCTTTCACAGTCAGAGTATCAAAACAGACTTTAACTTTGAAATCAGAGAGCCAATCACACCCTAAAATTACGTTGCGTACCAGGGATGGTACAACGACGCATGCAAAATCAAACCAAACACCCTGTATGATAAATCTCACCAAAGTTTGTTGTTTGATTTTTCTACCTTTACCTTTCAAAGCTCCTACTATGACGGTATTGTTCACTGGCAAAACAGCCAGCTTACTATTCAGTCTGCAAAGCTCTTCAAAGAATCCTTGCGATATACAGGACAATTGACTGCAACTATCGATTAAAATAGATTTTGAAATACCTTCGACATCACCTTCCACTAATGGCATAACATTCTCAACTTCTTCACTGTCATTTCCTTCCTCTAGCAACCATCACTTGTTTGTTCGAAAAGCATATTATTTGAAATTTTTTTAGTGTCTCTATCTTCAATTATTTGTGAAAAATTTAACTGGATGAATGTGTTGAATGGTCAATAAAAGTCCTGGAATATTTGATAAACCAAGGAACTCCGAAGTGTGAATAGATATGTGACAATGTGAAGAAATTTTCTGCTCGATAAATCTCTAGATATTTTTTGATTTGCCCCACCACGTTTTTCATTCTGAAAAATCAATCATCCGAAAAGAAACTAAACATCACAATATTTTGGAGGAACCATAAGGATTTACTACTAGGAGTACTTTTGAGAACGTTCAGATCTTGATATTTCGAGCCCTATCCATTGTCTGATAGATTAGTCGGTCTTGCTTCAGTGAACGAATCCACCAACAGTAGTGTCATTCCATATTGTTTTTCATTCTTTCGAATCCATTCTTCCATAACTTGATCAACACGTTTCAATATTTCTAGATATTCAAGAGTGTCGGATACTGAGATATGTTAGAATGTGAAGGAATTTTCTGCTCGATAAATCACTAGATATTTTTCGATTTGCTCCACCACGTTTTTTATTCTGAAAAATCAATCATTCGAAAAGAAACTTAACATCACAATATTTTTGAGAAACCATGAGGATCTACGACTAGGAGTAGTTTTGAGAACGCTCAGCTATTGATATTTCGCGCCATATCCATTGTCTGATTGAGACTGATTGGTGTAGTCGAAGCGTCGAGAGTACGTCAATGGTGTGAACGATGTTCAAGTTCACATCGAATTTGTGCTAAAAAACAGAAAAGTAATGTTCCAAACTATACTCGGTACGAACTGTGTACCTGGCGTCCTATATGGGTCCGATATAAATACAAATTCATGCAATGTGTCAGCTACCAAACAGAATTTCATTACAATATTACCAGTAGTTCACATATATTCGTAAATATTGTGTATCATTTTTTTTCCAACACATTAAATCATGAATTGAGATGCCGTTATAAAATCTTCTCACGAAATTAGACCTCACTTATTCTACCTATCCTTGCAACGTGTTCACTTTTTTTTGGAATAACTTGCATGGAAAATCTTCAATGAACATCCTATGAAGGAGAAACATTCCATCAAATGAGAATATCAACATTTTATTATGAGAAAAACACAGAGTATGAACAAATGTGCGATAGTTATTAATTTTATGTACAACACTGAGGGACAATATTCGAGAATAGGCGACTTAGAGGAGACAATTCCCAGAACAGGTCGTTTTTTATTTTTGATTTGCTACATATTGAGGAGAAAATTAGTATACTGGGTGATCCATGTTCGACGTTTGACGTCCGCGACAATGGAATGGACTCTCTAAGAAAATCTGAATACAAAAATATATCACACATAGGGTTTGTATGCAGTACCGAATGAATTTCTTAAAATTAAGGGAAATAATTATTGGACAAAACGTTCGACACCGTCGAACTCTATTTTATTTTGGGCATCTTTCCGAATGAAATGAATTCATGCAGAATGATCCGTGTAGAAGAAATAACATCGGTATTTTTTTCAATGCCATCTCTATATCACACTATAGTACTATACGGACGCACTGTGTACAAATTCTATAAGTAAAATAATTTTGTAGCCAGCTCTCCATCAAGAATCTAAAAATTGAATATATTATAGTTTTCTGTTTGAAAAAACTGTCGCGGGCGTCATTACTCTTACGTAGATAACCCTGTATATACAAGTTTCCGTTTGAAATGTGACAAATTGCAAATAATGGAGATTGATGTATTCCAGGAGATTCCTCAGGAATGGATAGTTTGGCGAAAAACGGATTTATCCTCTACTTTACGAGAGTACTAAATTTAACAGAAGGACTGTAAGTATACAAGCCCTATGTATAATACATTTTGAAATTCAGCTCTGCATAGAGATTCCTATACTTGAATGATATATAGGGTGTCCTATTCAAAAAAATCGTTGCGAACGTATTACTGAAACATGGATCAGCCTGTATATTCAATATTGCCTCGTGCGGCAAATCGGTAATTAGATATGACATGTTACAGGATTTGTCCGCAGAGTCGCCTATTCTTGAAGTAATGACTTTATTCTATAACTTTTTCCCTCACTAATACATATCTCAACAAGAAAACAAGCATTCATTTCTCAATAAAGGCTCCTTATATTTTTTTGTAGTATATTTTGATGAACAGAATCGAATACCGTTCTTATATTCCTAGTATCAGTTGCAATAGTGAAATGGGTATAGACAGTTCGTGCAGAAACAGTCTCGAGGATATTGCTTCCAGGCACTAATCCAATATTCTCTATAGTCACAGGATTTTTCGCGGAAATTTCCTGAAAAGAAATAATCACATGTGAACAATTTTTCAGAAATCACTTCTGTCAGCTCTCAACTGGAATAACTTAGAATTGATTGAGACCATTGGGTTCAATTTGCAGAAGAACTGAAGGGGGTATCGGCGCATGAAAAAGTTTCTGGTAACGATAATGTCCCAGGAAAAATAATTCCTCAGTTTAACTACTCTAAGAAAAATCAATTAACCATATTGTATTGTGGTAATATGGAGTTGAAGGATTTATGCAGATTCTTCGGGGTATTCTCTCCCCGTTTCTATCAATTGATATATCATGCCAATATCATGTGTAGTGTGGACAAATTATTGATCCTGGTAATCTATTCAGGTACAAAAAAATCAATCCACACTGAGAGAACTAGTTTCTTTTAGGCAAATGAAATGTTTTCAAAGTTGAGGAATATCTGCATTGAGAAGTGACTCAGTTAGGTGACTTTGACGAAAAGAAATCATGTATCAGTCAAATACTGTCTGTAGGTTTATCGAAGAGGTGATAAATTCATTATTCCTGATTTTTTGGGATTTTCTCTCCTCGTTTATATGGAATAATTGTTATTTACTATACAAGGGAAAAAAGTAGTAGATTTCAGCTCCAGGTTGGGAGCTGAAATCTAATATTTTTTCCGTGTATTATACACTATTTTTTTCTGTGACAGTAGAAAGGACGAATTAATATTGAGAAGATATTACATTATTTTAAAATTCTGGGTGAGTTCTATCGAATTATGAAATAACATTTTTTGTGATATAAGCCTATTGTTTCGAGATGATTCCAGATTCTTCTGTCAGGTTATGTGTCGCTGTGACACATATTGGATTTTCGGAAATACGCTGGTACATGTACATTGGGATGTTCGAGAGTGATCCGGGACGCGTGTTACTGGATGATCGTTGTTTCCCTGCCTTCCTGGTGATGTTATATAGCCCTTCAAAGTGGATACCATTACCATATATTGAAGAAACAGAAAAAAAATCAGGTAAAATTCATGATGTAGCATCGATGGTTCAAGAATATTCATTGTATTCGTGTCGAAGTAAAATAATACAATAAACAGAAGTCTCCATAGGTCTATTTGCACATCACATTAGCGAACTCGTGTGTAACTTCAATTTTATTGTGGAAAACATATCATCAAAGTCGAGGAAGCAAGTGGAGGAGCTATGCCAGTTCTAACTCATTCTGGCCACTTCTTCTATATTAATCTCCATTAGGAAAGTGATAATGAAAATAGCGAAAATGATCGTCGGCATCGAAGTCGACGAGCGGTCTAACCACACGCCCAGCATCGATCAACCGCGAACTGACATACAATAACCAGACGTTATTCACAGGTTGTAAGGAAATCTGAGTCAAATTGAAAACATACAGGGTGAGTAAAAAAACCTTAGTCAAATGAAAAATGCAAGAACATATAGGTACAGAATGAAACACTACAAAATTGATAATACTATACAGAGTGAATCTAAAAACCCAAGTCGGATGGAAAATTCAAAGAAACATATACAGGGTAAAGACAAAAATATAACATATATACCAACTCATTGATATGTAGAACAAATCAAGTAAGGTTTATTGGCAGGGCTAACTGGTGGGGCCGAATGGCGGATTCAATTAGCAAGGCTTCTTACTGGGGCTTCTTGGCGGGGCTGATTGGCGGGACTGAGATGCATCTTTTGTTTTAAAATTGTACTTAAACTGCCAATAAGCCCCGCCAAGTAGCCCTGCTGATTCGCTTCACCAATTACCTCTGCCAACTAGCCCTACCAATGAGCCTTTTTCAATTTGATCTACATTTCGATGAGTTAAAATTTATTTTAAATTTTTTTCCTACACCCTGTATATGTTCTTTCAGATTTCACATCTGACTTGGGTATTTGGATTGATTCTGTATATATTTATTCAAGTTTTTTCATCAGTCTGTATGTTTTTCATTCAGGTTCTCCTACATCTCCATCTTGTTATTGTATATCAAGTTCACCACTAAAAATCAGAGTTTCACCATATCACAGGTCAACAAAATCAAAAATTCAGGTGTCATGATTGATAGTTATTTGAAATGGGATGTACACATTAGGTATGTTATTAAGAAACTACAAATCATCCTGTATAAGTTCCGGTACCTTAGGAAATATTTATCATCTAGTCACCTGAAAACATTGTATTATGCGCTAGTAGCAAGCCACCTACGCTATGGAATCGTAGGAAGGGGTGGAGCACTGCGCTCGCACATTAATTCACTCGAGGTTGTACAGAGAAGATTTTTATAAATAATTCTAAAAAAAAACAAATAGATTCCCTTCAGATATGTTGTATCAAGAATGCAAAATATTAGACATAAGACAACTATATTATCTGAATGTAATATCGAAATACAGAAAAAATATAAAAAAAACGCTCATTTACCCACCCACACTTATAAAACGAGACAAAGACACCATTACGTCATTCCACAGATAACTAAATCTATTTGCCAACATTCCAGATAACATGAAAAACATTATCAAGTTGTTTGAAAAAGAATTGAAAAAGTTGGTACATGAAACATAAAGATCTGTAATTATTGCAATAATTGAGAGGAAATATTATTAATATTTTATTCACGCATAATGTATTATTGGTAACGTTTTATTACTTCCCATATTATTCTTATTATTATGAATTGTTCACATCATCATTATCATTATTATCACTATATATATCATTGAAATCATTGAATTTATCATTATTATCATCATATTATGAATTACCATTATTAAAACTATTTCAACATAACATTCCAGAGATACCAATGTCGATGAGTCACCTATGCAATGTTTATTTGATTCGATATCATCGTTTTATATATTATGATTTTCATGATTTATGTATACATATATTTCTTTTTGTTCTTTGTTATATCATAGAGACCGCGTCAATCGTTATCATTATCTTTATTTAGTTATATTATATGTTTCTCGAAACAAGTGTTTACATCACTTATCGAGTTTTGTCATTTATTCATGTTATTTATACTTATAACTCCATTTTTTATGTATTTATGTATCTCATATCTGTTTTTTTTTTCATGTTATTTCACGAATAAATGATATTATTATTATTATTTTTATTATTATTATTATTATTATTTTTATTTCGACGACCATTTTCGCTGTTTTCATCAACACCCTTTTATTAGCCTCACCTGTATTCGATTCTGACCTGGACGCGATTCTGACCCAATTCGAACTGACCGATTGATTTGAAATTTGCCAGGTGTACATGAATCTGCACAGGGGAGGCAGATATGCCTTTCTCCTCTTGGCCACCCCTTTGACTACCGCGTTGAGAGTTGAAGTGTTGTCATGAACGTTAACGTAATAGTAGAAGATCCGAACCTAAATCGACCTTCGCCGAGCTGATAATAGAACGAAATATATTTTATCATGAATTTAGTATATTAGAAAACATACTAAAAATGGGTTGGCTAAAAAAATCCTGGGCGGACTATTTTTAATTATCTTTCGAAAAATGATTTTTAATTGAATGTTGCAACATCAGGATAATAAAAAAAAATTGTCCTGACTGAAAGTATAAAACGTATAGAATGTGCAGCCGTTGGGTTGTCTACTATTTACCTGGGCGAACTACTGGGTTGTCAGGTAAACACAGGTATATCGATGCCAGTTACTTTCACTGGATTGGATAATTAAAAAAAAATTATATCATCATAAGCGCTGTTTAATTACGAACACGTTGATATAGGGTTGTCTGCGAAAATTCCGGTCCTATTAGGGGTTTGCGAATTTTAAAGATTTTAATTTCAACGCGCGTGGAAGTGTGTGACAGAGAGATCCGAGGTAAGTATACTGTGTAATAATAAAGGACCCAACATCGCAGTCGCTTGTGATGGGACCCTGAATAGTATAGAAAGTGCGCATGCACGGTGTGTAAACTATGGAGGGTAGAGGTACCTCTACTACCCTTCATATAGTAAACAGTGCGTGTTATTTTGGAGCAAGTGATATTTCAGTAGCAAAAAAAAATAATTAAATAATTACATAATAATTAAATATATTTAATATAATACTAATATATAAAAACAATATAATATCAATATATTGCGTTATAACCATAATAATATATCTATAATCTATAATAGACAATAATAATATCAATTACTTACTTTGAAATTTTTTTGCTCTTTCTGGAAATAGAAACAAAGTGGACCGCCAAAAATTTAAATTAAGAAATAACAAAAAAGATAGACTAGACATCTTGTATTACGATTTAAAATTTTATTAAAAAACATTATAAATACAAAAATAATATTAATGAAAATTAAATTCTAATAAATATTTTCTATTCAATATCTGATTCATCAGAAGTATCATTTTGACTCTCGAATTCGTCTGATTCATTAGATTCTTCCTCATTTGCTTCCATTTCGACAATGTCCTGGATTTTCAGAGGAGTTTGATCTCCGATAAAACCTGTTGGTTTTAATAAATCATCAAAATGCCAACCATAGTTTTCAGGATTTGACTTCGCACACTTCGCACACTTTCTACTATTCAGGGTCCCATCACAAGCGACTGCGATGTTGGGTCCTTTATTATTACACAGTATACTTAACTCGGATCTCTCTGTCACACACTTCCACGCGCGTTGAAATTAAAATCTTTAAAATTCGCAAACCCCTAATAGGACCGGAATTTTCGCAGACAACCCTATATCAACGTGTTCGCAATTAAACAGCGCTTATGATGATATACTTTTTTTTTAATTATCCAATCCAGTGAAAGTAACTGGCATCGATATACCTGTGTTTACCTGACAACCCAGTAGTTCGCCCAGGTAAATAGTAGACAACCCAACGGCTGCACATTCTATACCTTTTATACTTTCAGTCAGGACAATTTTTTTTTATTATCCTGATATTGCAACATTTGATTGAAAATCATTTTTCGAAAGATAATTAAAAATAGTCCGCCCAGGATTTT